AAAAAAAAAAAACAATTCACTCAAGTTTAAGATCTTATTTGCTTTCTTGCATGTTGTAGTGATTGAGATTGTCTCAAATTTCAATGATCATGACCTGCATTCCCCTGTTTTGCATCTAGAGGTTTATGCAACAGTTTATAAAATTTTGAGCATTATAAGTTCACAAATAAAGGATTGATATGATTATACAATTGCTCTCTTTTCCCCCTCTTTTTGTAAGAGAGAGAGCATTGCCATTCAAATTGAGTATCTTCATCCAGACTTCACTCGACCAGCTGTTCTATATTTTCCATTCTTAGGCCATGTCGAAATATATAACAATAGATGTGGGAGTAAGAATAGAAAGAGAATATTCTGAGAAACAATATCATTTTCATTGCAAGTGGTAAAAAGTATTTTTAAAAAATTCAGGAAAAAGGCATGGATTGTACGTCTGAATGGACTCAAGAATATTAAGTTCCACTTTAGTAACTAGTAGTTCTCTGGCAAGAACTAGTACTTTCATGTTAAGATATTGGTAACTCTTTGTAATTAAAAGTAGTAGCATTATTTTTTATTAAAGTCATAAGCTAATGACGAGATTAACCTTTTGTTGGAGGCTACAGTTGGTTTCGAAGCATAACCAAAGGGGAATTCATCCCCAGTTACGAAGAAACCTCTGATGTTGCCACAAGAAGGTACAACTTTTTTGGGTGTTTTATATTAGCTCGTCCCTGGAATTACTCTCTTTTTCTTTCCCCTTTGAAATGGATATGATTGAGAGCTATAGGGGCATATAAACTTGTATAGTAGAGAAGGGAATGGAATAAGAAATGTGGGGAAAAACTGTTCATCCTGTGGAAAATGGACCTTGACTAACCTTTGAAAGAGATGAATATACGCTTATACGTTTGATGTTTCAAATGGTTCAAATGGTGTTTACTTTTCCTGGTGTTTGGTCTTGGACTATTGAGCACATGTTCAATTTTGCATGAAAATAATTAGACCCTGTCAATGCTTAACACATAGAATATAAAAACAAGGCAGGAGCAGCATGGATCAAAAGGTGGAAAGCAGAGAAGGGAAAAGGTGGCTGCAGGCATTGAAGTAGATTAATCAATTAATGAAATGAAACTGAATTTAATCTTCTAAAATGGAGGTTATCTCATTGTTGCCAGAAAACTTGTTACAGTAAGGGAGGTTCAACTTAGAAGATTCTACTCCTGATAAGCCCAGAACTGGGTTTGAGAAGGGATACTATCGCTTCAGCCAGGCTACAATTCTGAAACAGTGATTTAAACCTCAGTTTTAAACTTTCCATAATTCAAAACAAAGGGGGCTGCAGGTTGAGACACGTTAATTGAACCATTCGGCTTAATGTAATTTACGTCTAGATGAAGCAAACATATTATTCATCCTTATGATCTTCTCATAAGTAACAATTTAATTAAGCAAAGCAAACAATATGTAACACCAAAAAACCCAAGATTAGTACTGCCATATACAACCAAAGTGAAAAATATATACTAAATCATTTTGATAATTTCAATTTGTAACTTGTAAGATTAATTCAAATTGGTCTGCTGGAGGTACGTATTCTACTTTGCAATCCAGGAGGTTGACCAAAGTAAAATAAAAACCTGCAATTCCTCGAGGAACAAGTCGTCGAACCGAGCTCTTCATGCGCCTTAACCATGCATACTTCATACAATCTACTCATACTTTCTCGATAAATCAGTTTTCACAATTACTTTTGTTAATAGAGAGAAAAAAAGAAAGCAGCAGAATCACAGAGGAAAATGGCTAGCCGTGTGAGCTTGGTTGGGTTATTGATTGTTGCACTGACATTGCCAGAGATTGCAAATGCAGCAGAATATCAGGTTGGAGATAGCTTTGGCTTGGCTTTTCCACCCTCCACCGACTTCTATGCTAACTGGGCTAGCAACAAAACTTTTCAGGCTGGAGACTCAGTAGGTAATTACGGATTCCACAAAATTTTCTCTGAACTTCTGAATTCTTATCCTTGTTTCTTTTCCTGAAATTTGGGTTCGATCCATAATCTCAGTATTCAACCGGAACGGGACACATACCGCGACAAGAGTGTCAAAAGAAGACTACGATGCCTGCAATACTACAGGAGGAACAATTCTAGTAACCAGCGGAGTGGATGTACGTTTGGATGTAAACGGTACCTATTACTTCATCTGCTCGGTTGGAACGCACTGTCAACAAGGCATCAAGGTAGCTTTCGTGGTCGGAGATGGAGAATTTGATGATTTGGACAGAGGCTCTGCTCCTTCTCTAACCGTTGGTGGCACTATATCTGCGATTCTCGCCACCTTAATGATCTGTTTCTTTGAGTGAATGTGAGTATATACTGGAACATGCTTGAATTCAAGTTATGAAAAGACAGATTTGAGCGTTTGTATTAAAATAAAGGCGGTGTCCATTTTACACCCACGATAATATTTGACTGTAGTACCTTGATGATCTAATATGTATAAAATGATGCAATTTCAATTCTCTATTGAAGCATAAATGAAAATCTTTAATTTGTTAACCCTATGAATTTCTTGAAATATTTGTATCTGGTGTCCAAATTGTGTTATCACTCCCAACTATCCATTATCTTACCTAAATCGATGAGTAATATTCATTAATTATTCCAAACTATTTATTTGATGAATATTCAATTAAAAATGCAAATATGACCCTGACTCAAAAATTCAATTTAATATAATATATTATAACAAATGTATTAAAAAGGTAAGTAACCAAAATCAATTTTACAAAATAAGCTCAACATTAATAACTTGCTTCTAAATTCAAACAAAATAACAATTAAATATGAAATAAAATATCAATTATGAAATCACATATATAAATTTGTTTTCAATACTTAAAGAGAAATAATATATATTACTTTGTCAAGTTATAACAAAATCATAACCTGGTCTCGTTATTTAAGGTGACATTTGCAAGAATTTATTTATTTTTTCATTCATTAAATGGGTTTTAAATTATTTTTATCCTGCTACCCACACCAACTAACTAATACGGAGAACGATTCGAGTAACGACTCAATACTAACAAGATATCTCAACCCTTGAACCCAAATTATACTCCAAACTCTATCAAGTACTAAGTTTACAATATAAAATTAATATATTTGTAACTATTTATAAATGTTTGAAACTGCATTAATTGAATTTAATTGGATCAAATACCCGATTAATTAAAATCCGTCCGAAGCCATCTCTAATCCAATTTTAGGCAAAAGTAATTTCATGTTTTTCTGTTAAAAAAAAAAGTAATTTTAAATCCGAATCTTGAAGGTCACCTGTCTTTATATTACATATTGAGGGAATAATTCTCAATACCTGGGGTTAATTTGAGCAGGGTAGCGATACAAAGCGACGGGCATGCTACGGTATTTGATAGCTTTGAGACCTTTGATCCTCCAATATTTCCAATTTATAAGCTCATTCCTTCGTGTTTGGTTTTGAAGTCTTACCAACTTTACGTTGTTGTCATTTTCTGTTTTGATTCTTTGAATATTGTCCTTTTCCTTTGTTTTAAACTATTTAGCATATTTTCAGTTTATCCTTAGTTTATTCATGTGTGTTTTAAGTCTGATAATTAAACCTAGCTAGAATTCGAGTACCAAGTATTAAATCTTGCTTATTGATAATATATTCCTAAAAATATTTCCTCTATCTAGCCACATTAAATTTTGGCAAACCAAAAAATAAAGATCTTTCCGGTAGGTATGCATATATAGATTATATACTCTTTTTCAAATGTTTGATATGTGCAGATACCAACAAACATACAACATTTTTTGGTAACCTAGATAGGTCCTAATCTTGACCCAATTGATCTCCTCCTCTTTTCCTTCCCAAATACGTTCAAAGAATCTGCCTTCCTTTTTCTAAACTATGCTGGAAGTCTTTGGGCACCGTGTCAAGCCAAACTTCTCATTTGTGACCGGCCATGAGGATTAAGGACCACACAAAAGCACAGTAGCTTACTAATTGCAGAGGTTGAAAATTTTGTAATCGCATTAACAATTCAATCACAAGTATTCAAGATCTTTATGATTCTCGACTCATATGTCAAAAATATCTCTTTATTGCAATCAAAATCTCAATCTGTATGACAATAAGACATCGACGAAAAATGAATGCCCTCTCTCACACTAATTCTATTTTACTACTATGTTTAATTAACACATGAACAAAGCTATGATAAAGGACAGGAAAGTAACGGAAAGCCCAGCAACACCTAGAGATGTTGCCGAGTTGCCTGGCGGCGGTGGGGGGGCACCTTCATCTCCTGCGGGAGGCGGGGGAGAGGTGGTGGAGGATGGTGGTGTTGCCGTTGATGGTGAGGGTGAGGGTGAGGACGAGGATGGTGGTGTTGGCGTTGACGGTGAGGGTGAGGGTGAGGGTGAGGAAGAGGATGGTGGGGTCGCTGTGGGGCTGCCGTCTGTGACATTGATGGCGAGCTTTTGACCAGCGTTGCAGTGGCCTGTGATGGCGCAAATGTAGAAGTGCTCGCCAAGAGTTCCGAGAGTGATTCTTGTTGGTCCGGTGGTGAAGTTCGAAAGCGTGTTGCTTGTGTTACACTGTTGATAAGCTTCCCTGGTAACCTCGGCCACATCATGAGCTCCGGTGGCATAGTTGAAAACTGCATAATTGAGATTAAAACCAATGTTGGAATTACATTAATTTGTTTTGATCATACTGGAGACTCCAAAGCCTATGCAAATTCAATTTATTAAAGATCTTTTACTCTTTCAGTCCTTACCTAAAATGTCTCCAACCATGAAGGTCTTGCCATTAGCCCATCTTTCGTAAGCCGAAGCACCGTCAGAAGGAACAGTCCAACCCAAATTGTCTCCAACGATGTAAGTCATTGGTGGCCTAGATGGAGCTGGGGTTGGCGCAGAGATGGGTGAAGGGGAGCTAGCTTGGGGAGCTGGAACAGGGCCAGAAGGCTGAGGAGTAGAAGCTGGTGGAGAAGTAGTGGGTTGAGGGGGTGGAGTTGAAGGCTGAGGGGCAGGAGATGAGGCTGCAGCACTAACGTTTATCGCCAATCTTTGACCAGCACTGCAGTGGCCAGGAAAGGCGCAGAGGAAATAGTGATTCCCAGTTTCATTGAGGGTAAAATTTGCAGGACCATTTGAGAGTAAAAGAAGAGGATTTGTAGAGTTGCAAGCATCGAAATTCGCCCTTGTTACCCTGGCCACGTTGTGTACTCCGCTAGCAAAATTAAAAACTGCACAAAAATTCATGATAACATGTTAAATCACTCCGATTCGTTTGAAAAAAATGGTGAACAAAAAAAAGAAACGAATATCTGCAACGTTTTCCGTTCTTTTACTTACCAAGAGTGTCACCAACTCTAAAAGCCTTGCTTGCTGCCCATGTGGTGTAAACCATGGGGCCGCCAGGAGGAACGACCCAACCTGACGCATCCCCAACAACATAAGCTGTCTGTGCCGACGAGCTCTGCAGGATAGTCGCAATGGCAATTGTTGCAAGAAATACAATGTTCAATCTTCTTCCCATTTTCTTGTGTTCTTAAAATTCTGGTCGCCCCCTTTCTCTCTTACTCTGCTTCTGCTTTCCGAGGGAGACAGAGAACTGAAGTGGCAGAGGTACTATTTTGTTTGCCTCCAATTTATTTATAGGCAAAATGCTTTGCTATTATGATGGAATGCTATTCGTTTGATGGAGGACACGTGTATCTGTTGGTCAACATCATGAAAGAACCGATTTTAATTGCAGAGTGAGAGTGGCGGTGCAATTTTGCTGAGTTTTTGGACTTTTGCCGCGTGAAATCTCTACCAAATCCGATGACTTTCTAAGGTTCAGTTGTCAAGTCTTTGTTTGATTTGCAAAGTCTATGAAAGGCTTTGAGAGCCAATTAATTACAAGTATTTAAATTCTTTTTAAAGTAAAAGAGCGTATAAAGTTAAGTTGAATGAGGGGAAAAAGAACTAACAAAGAATAGGGGTGGACAATAGATGTACTGAGGATGGTTCTGTATAATTTCCATATAAAAATTATAACAAAAATTAAGGAAGATTGAAAGATGTGAACAAGAAATATTTTTTTATGGTAAGGCTACAATATTATAAAGGTTTAAAGTCAAATATGAGGAAATTATTCAAAATTCTGTTCAAATTGGAATGTTAACGAACTTGAAATAACATTAATGATCTTATTTTCACACCCATGACTCTATGAGAGAACTTTGTTTTGTTTACAAAATGATATGGTAGTTGTGGTATGATTGTAGATATGGGGAAAGCTATGTTACCTTTCATTATGCAATCAAATTGATGATTAAGAAACGTAAAAAATAAGAACAAAAATTCTGCAAGGAAATGCTAAAGAAGATGGGTCATGAAATTTGGGAGCAAGGTCATCTCTGATCGTGCAGTTGTTACTTTCTAGAAAGGTTAAAACTTTGAAAAATCTCAAGCAACGGACTGGTCAATGTGCCTGGCTGACTATAAATAATGCTACTATAGGTTGTGGTTGTGGCACTAACACATGTGATAACATCATAATTAACGAGTTTAATTAATTTCGAGAGAAAAAATAAATACTTTCATTATCCAATAGTTGAGATAAATAGAGTCAAAAGAGACTGCGTAACTGAATTAGTATGAAATAAGAAAAGATGTTCAAGTTTGTCCATAAGCTTCCACAGAGAGTATAAATATAATATTGCGCAGAACTCAAGTTCTAGCAAATCCAAGGATTTTGTTCAAAAATTTACCTAACAGTTAAAAATGTTACTTAAATGAAAAAAAAAAATACTATATACGATCATTTTATATTTCTATTTTCCTACACACCAAATGCAAAAACTTATCATAAAAAACTGAAATAAGCAAAGATGGGGTTAAATAAAGCCCATGCTTTTACCATTGAACTTAATCACTTATAAGATTTTAATTTAATTATGTTGTAATAATTTAATATTGAAGCTTAATGAAAAAATAAGATGTTATTTGATTCGATAAATATTGAAATTTGAAGTTGGTACATATATGTTTTATACATATACAAGCAAATATTCCTTTGAAAGTAAGAAAAAGCAAAATTAAGAAAACAATGATAAACTTAAACTAAAAAGGGCTTAAGCTCTTTCTTATTTCATCGTCAAATTATAAAATTTAAGATCGCAGATATAGCTATATGTACATGATCAAGTACTTATTGCTTTAAGTTAGTCCATGTTTGAGGCACATGTTTCAAGTCTTTCTTAAGCCCATTTATTTGTTACGCCTAGTTTGTGAAGTCCAATGGGGGAAAGAAATTGGGCTTAGTGAAAATTCAAAATTAAGCTCCAGCCCATGCTATAAAAGTTAATTTTCTTTTTCTTTTAACTTATATATTAATTTTCTAAGTTAATTAGAGTTAGTGTAGGTTGATTTGGTATGGATGAGTATATATATTACTAAACATATGTTTTTGAAAAATCATGAGCCATTTTATTTTAAGGGATGTAAAAAAAATTCACTTTTTAAGATAATTATAATATAATTTTAAGTTCTTAGAAGATAAAAAAATTAAATTGACATCTTGATAAATTAATGACATATAATATTATATAAAAGTATAAAATAATGACATGGAGAAAGGCACTCAATTCCTCTCCCCAAACATCCAAACACGGAGCGAAAACCAAATAAAATGAATGTCATCTCGGAGTACAAGTATGCAATGTAGTGATAACATAGTCCTAAAGATAAACAATAAATGTAGTGACATATTTACGTGCTAATGTATGTTAAAAGAATGCCATGGCTAGGGAAAAGAGGGTAATGAAGAAGCCGCCTATGAGAGGAGACGGGGCTGAGCTAACTAGAGAAGGCGGCGGCGCAGCGGAGGGACCTTCAGAAACAGGATTTGAGCCACTGGATGGAGGCTCTGTGGAGCTAGATGGTGGATTTGAAGTGCTAGTACTGGCTGTGACATTAATGGCTAGCTTCTGACCCAAGTCGCAGTGGCGTGCGTACGTGCTAGTGAAGAAATGCTCACCGGTGGTGGTGAGGGTGATATTAGCAGGACTAGTGGTTAAAACCGTGATGGTGTTGTTAGTATCACAGGTTTCATAGGCTTCTTTGGTCACAACAGCCACGTCTTGTGTTCCATTGATGAAATTGAATACTGCAAAAAAAATTAAATTAAATTTTAAAGATAGTTTTAGATGAGTATTACTTTTTTGACATTTACTATTTAAATTTTTATTCGTTTTTTTTTTTAAGGAACAAAACTGTAAATAGCTAAAACATCGACCTAAACCTCACATTTTCATATCAATACTTTAGATTGCTAAGGCTATGGATTATGGTTATGAAAGTCCAAGTATTACCTAAAGTATCTCCCAGAAGGAAAGTCTTGTTGAAAGCCCAAGTCTCATACGCAAGGGGACCAGCAGGAGGGACAAGCCAACCCAAGTCATCACCAACGTTGTAGGTAATTGGCCCTCGTGGAGGAGCAGGAACAGGGCTAGGCCGAGGTCCAGGGGCAGAGACATTGATGGCTAACTTCTGCCCTAAGGAGCAGTGTTGGTCTATAGTACCTATGAAATAGTACTCGCGAATTGAGTCAAGGGTCAAGTTCGCCGGGCCAGTTGTTTGAAGCGAAATGGGATTAGTTGAGTTGCAGGTTTCATAGGCTTCCCTGGTGACCATGGCCACATCTTGCTCTCCAGTAGTGAAGTTGAAAACTGAAAATACAAGCAAAACTTGCTTCATAAGACCTATGTTCAGGTTAAAAAAGCTTGAAATCTCTTAAAATGAAACGCCACCTTTTTTTGTAACAAGGATTTTAAATTTTCATTTCTGATCTTCTTTCTCTTCATTCAAACAGAAAACAAAAAAAAAGAAGCAAGACTTGTTTACATACCAAGGACATCGCCAACGGTGAAAGTTTGCATGGCAGCCCAAGTCGAGTAAGCAATGGGGCCACCAGGAGGGACCAGCCAACCCAACTCGTCACCGACCACATGCGTTGTCTGTGCAGCGGTGGCTTGCAATATAGCCGATAAAGCTATGACCAAAATCGCTAAGCTGGAACTCCTAGCCATATCTTTTGTCAAGGAGTTGTTTTGGGTTTTGTACCTTCTGAGAATTGGAGATCCGAGGGATTGATTTATGTCTTTATGACTTTTTATAGAGGTCACGAAAATAGTTTAACCAATTTTTAGTACGTGATTGGTTTAAAAATTTGATCTCTACCAATTTTTCTTTCTACTCTTAATTTAGTATCACTGGTCTGCTGAATTGGATTCTAGAACCAATTGAAAATAGACGATTGCCTCTATAATGAATTCAGCAACTTGGGTGATGGGGACAGATATCGAAACCCAAACCCAAAGCACCAAAGATAAAGATTTGCAAAAATCTCGTTAGTTTTTCTTCTTCTTCTTTCTTTTCTGCGAATTTTCGATTCCCATTTCTAGAAGATTGATTTTTCTATAATTATTTTTACGTGTTTTGATAATTTTATATTTCAGTATTTCACCATGCTTAGAGTATTATTCGTTTGACCCCGTTTATGGATTAATTTTTAAGACTTGAGAGTAATTAGTCAGAAATCTTCATTTTTTTATTATATTTGTTTAATTCTTGACGGATTCAGCGGGGAAAAACATGGAAATACAATTCTTTTGAGTTATTATTGCCCTGAACATAAGTTATAGACTTTCGAGAACTTTTTTTTTTAATGTTTGTCCAATTCTATACCTAGTAGTCAAAAGTTCTGTTAAACTTTTTCCGATTAAACCAACATGCATCTTCCCGCGAGAAATATAATTGTTTATAAACATGAAGTTTCAATTCTTATTCTTTCTCATATAAGATCATGTTTTCATTATTTTTATTTGATAGTGCATGTATTTCATGATTCGAATCTTCATTTAGCAGGAGCTTGGAAGATTTAAACCTTAAATATTTTATTTATGATGTGCATTCTCCATCTATATATCTAATATGTATAGAATTGGAGAGTTTTAATAGGTATTCACTTTCAATTCACAAAAACAATAAAGTAAGATTGGAGGTTACACCTTGATCAAATATATTAGCCACGACACCTACTCCTTTTAACTTTTTCTCTCAGGTATAATAAAAACAAGAGTAAAATTATTTTTTAAAATTTTAATTGAAATTATACGAAAATTTATTAATTTTTAAAATAATATATATTAGGAAACAATTATTATTAACAGAAATTATAAAAATTAAAATATTTTTTATTAATTAAAAAATTATTATTAATTTTTTAAAAAAATAATAAAATAAGAAACACCGATCAATGCTCACTAACTCACCAAGAAAGGGAGACTCCTGAGGGGAGCATCGGTGCTAACGACCGACCCTTTGATCTATGGCGCTCCCAGTTCAACCAGGTTTGATTAGAAATGCTAAAATGAGTGGAGAGAATGGCTTAGAAGGAAAAAGGGCGCTTTATTCACGGCCTCTGGGTCTAAGTCCAATAGAACCGACCGAATAGAATGAGCACAGAGCTTTTCTAGTTACTTCTATTTTAAGGTGATGGCACAGTTTTAGTTCCCTGTCTTGGGCTGCTCGAGAATGCCCTCTTGCTGCAAGAATGGCCTGTGACAGTGAATCAGAAGAGGTTGCTGTTGAAGAATGCCACATCTCCTAGTCGGGGCTAACTAAACCTCTCCGTAGGCGTTAAAAAAGGGTGGCGGGGATGAATGAAGGCCAGTCCTTGAGCCAAAGGTCATAGTGATCCTGTCCTTTCTACCTCATATGGCAGCTTTTTTTAATTAATAAAAAATAATAAAAAATAATAAAATTATATAATAATAATAATTATAATTAAAATTATTTTTTTATCTTTATCACATAAGTAAATTAATAAAAATATTAATAATTAATTAAAACTAGACTTATGTATCATTAAAAAATATTTTTTGAGGTGAAATATTTATTTTAAAAATTAATAAATTTTCATATAATTTTAATTAAAATTTTAAAAAATAAAAATATTTTACTTTGAAAACAAATAGTGTAATTTCAAGTAACTACTATTGTTTTATTTTTCTCTCCGTTTCCTTTTATTTTCAACTCTTTATTCACATAGAGCAGAGGCTAAGGGAGGGAGAGCCAATAGGGACCCTGCCCCTCGAAAATGTCAAAAATTTATAATCTTGTCTTTTTTTTTTATTTTAAAATGTTATAATTTTATCCTTATTTTTTAAAAAATTTTGTAATTTTGTTCCTTCAAATATTAAATATTTTGTTTTACCTTTTCAAATCTGAAATTTTGATTCGGCTAGCTAATTAACATGCATGATGGTGCAGTATGCTATTGTTTATTGTTCATTGTTGATAATTAAGGCTTAAATCGAAGCTCAAGGCTGAAGTTCAAGTGGCTTAGTAGATGTGCTTTAGTGGTTCAAAACTTAATTTCAGGCGGCATGATAGACAAATAGTCACAAGATTTGAGTCCGGCAAATAATTGTCAAGGCACTAGATTTGTTCCAGTGACAATCAGTTTTTCACCATTGTATATTCAGTAATGGTGTTGCAAATGCAATCTATCTGTCTAGGTAGGCCTCTCTTCATATCTCATATTGGTTCCTCAAGATTGCCCTGAATACTTGCTCTCTGCTACATACATACCTTTTAAGCAAGCATAACCCACATTGGCTATATTAATGTCCCATACTATAGCAATTTTATCTTTTGATCTCCTTGTTAATTATATACTAATTTAAATTACTATGTGGATGATTTGTCATTTAATTAAATCAATTTGTATTATATTTTTTATATTTTTTAAATAAAAAAATCATGTATCAACTATTAACTCAAATATATAAATACAAATTAGTCTGTGTTGTAAAGTTTTGTAAATTGTATAAAATTACAAATGAAATTTAAACTAGGAAGACACGTCGATGACGACGACATCGACAAAGTCATAGCCTTACTAAGTGGACCATGGACATCCATTTTCGGCTTTGAAATTAATATAAATTTGTTTTGCCCGACTAGTTGTCAGCGAAGATGGGCTATTTTATATAGTTTCCCCATTAAAGATATGAACAGAAGTACTAGTTGCATCCGACTTATACTCGGATTTATTCGGGCCAGAGAAAAGAAAGAGGATTGATAGTAATCATCCTAGTTTACAACATGCTGAAATGAGATGCCTTTAAAATTCCTTCAGCTGTCAAGTTAACGGTGGTTGTTAAAAATATTTGAACTAATTTCTTCCACACTTTTAACGAAAGCTCCTATATATCTTCGCAGAAAAATTAACTGTAGCAGTTTTATTGCTTCCCCATGGAATGCATTAACCACGAAAATGGATAAGCTTCATATGAAATAGAGGTTTCCAGGATGATAGCTTTTACAAGTCAACGTGGGAGAGTCTTTGCGAATGCAACTGTTAAGTTCACATGCAATGGCGGGGTAGGTAAGAAAGAGTTTTTGAAGTAGTAACAGTGTCAATCTGCAGTGTCACTGGCTGAGTGAAATGCTTAAAGTCCATGAAGAAGTTTAATATCTTAGGTGAAATGTAATCACTATTCCACCGACATAGGCAGAGTCAATGAGAGTAAAGGGACAAAACTAAAATCATATCCCAATAATTTGTTCAGGATCTACTGAATGTATGCTTAACAGATGTCAATTAAGCTTATTAACTTCTGTACTAGCTACTTCAACTGTAACAGCCTCTAACCCCTTTTTTATTTAATCAGATTATTAGGTTGTCTGTGCTTATCTAAATAGTGAAGTTTGGTAGAAAAAATTTGTTTAGAAGCTGAACTAAAATTGAAAAGCTCTCTAATATTTTCCTCGGTGCTCTTTAGGGATATCATATGATTTTAGATATGAACATACCTGACAAGCAATGGCAAAGAATGGTATGTTCAGGTTTAAAGCAGAAATGAATTGAAATGGTGGAGGTGTAGAGTAGCCAGACTGGACGGTAGAATTTGAAGACAGAGGAACATATTTTCCTCAGTCAATTACATCTTTTTCAACCCTGCAATTTAAAGAACATTTGGAGTTTTGGACACCCTTTACGCAGTCTAGTTCAATAGTATAGCGAAAGCTCGCCTGCTAAAACCAAAGAAAATTTTTTTGGCAGGTCCCCATCCCTCACAGCAGCAGCTGGACCTGGATAAAATAATTAAAGCTTAGGGGTTAGACAGGCCTTTCATACACCATCAAATTGGGGATGGAAGGAATGCTTTCCCACCGTGAGAGAAGTGTCATCAAAATGGGTCACTTCTCTCTACGTTCGACAAACGAAATTTATTGGATCAAGGCCTTAATGAAAATGCAAAAAGCAGCAGATGTAATCTAAGATGGGAGTCTGCCATTTGCCACTAGCAAGATCAACTGATTTTGTAACTATTAATAGCAAAGTAGTTTCCATAGCTTCAAAAATATGGAAAATTAAGCACCTTCGAAACTTGGACGTCAACAACCTAAAGTGGGTAGGCACAGGCTCATTTGATTTGAGCTTCATGTGTCTCAACAGTCTAGTGATAGAGATGGCAATTAGGCGAGTGGAGTCATTTTGGATCGAAAGAATTTTGAATCATTTCGGATTCAAATAATTTTATATTAATTTTTTAATTCAATTTAGATTTAGATCATGCTAAACATTTTCAACAATAATAAATGTGAGATATAATTTCACATTGAAAAAAAGAAAAGATACAAAAATCCTTTAAATGAAAAGTAGAATAAATTCATAATAGTTGAACTAAGGTGCCTTAAAATGCATGACGGACCATGAATAGGCTTTTCAATCTTTGATTGATTTAGAAATTAATTAAATTAATAATATTTAATTAATATATTATAAAGGTATTTGACATTTGTATATACAAATAATTAAATAATAAAATTATATTTAAAAATAATAATTATTTAATTATCAACAAAAATATTTGTACAATCAATAATTATGATTGTTGAATTTTATTGTATCTTTGAGGTTTCTTAAGATCTTAAAATCAAAGACATTGATTCACATCTTGAAACCTTTTTCATTTTTTTCTAGTTCTATACTCTAACAGATCAAACATGTTTGATTTGATTTTTTCTAATCAAATCAAACTACATGGATTTTGGATTTTAACGAATCAGTCAAAATTTTCGATTCAAATTAACTTTGTCTTCTCTACTCAACATTATGTTATAGCTAGGATGGCTAATCTGGA